GAGAGAGAGAGAGAGAGAGAGAGAGAGAGATCTGTTTTCTTTTTTTTCCTTCCTTATCGTGGATAGAGCGCCGTAGGTTGAATATGTAAGGCAGGGGAACATAAAATATACATAAAATACGTGAAAATGGGAGAGAACGACTGGTCATACGTGGACAAACACAAGAAAGAGAGAATGAATACTGAAGGACTAGGAGAAGGAGAAGGTTGGAGGACGAGAGGTGGGAGAAAGAATGGAGGAAGAAGGACGAGAACACCAGGAACGAGAAGGAGGAGGGGGAGGAGGGAAAGGAACAGCAAGGGACAGCAGGAAGATACAGGGAGGCGAAAGCCGAGAAAGAGGGACGATAGGGAGGGAGAAAGATGGAGCTGGAAGAGGAGCAGAGTGAGGAGGGGGAGAGAGGGGAAGGACGAGCAGAGGAGGGGAATGGGGTCAGGATGGGGGAGAGACAACGGTGGGGGAGGGAGTTCTAAAGAGTGATTATGTGAAACCAATTGCGGCAAGGGACTGCCAACGGGGAAAATCGGTTGTCCTCTCAGCATGATACTATAGATGGTCAAATGCATCTGCTCGCGGAGGATCAGAGGGAGGAGGGGGAGAGAGGGGAAGGACGAGCAGAGGAGGGGAATGGGGTCAGGATGGGGGAGAGAGAAAGGTGGGGGAGGGAGTTCTAAAGAGTGATTATGTGAAACCAATCGCGGCAAGGGACTGCCAACGGGGAAAATCGGTTGTCCTCTCAGCATGATACTATAGATGATCAAATGCATCTGTTCGCACTGTCTTCTTGCCTCAACCGACCTGTCAATTCGTGTCCTCGTCTTTATCCTCTCCTTCCATATCTTGCTCTATACTCATGCGGCCTTCCCAATACGAGAAAAGGGAAAGAAAAAGACTGAAACAACTTTGCTGTATTTTCTCTTGCGGTCGAAGCTGCAACGACCGGTCTCGTCTACTTCTACATTCTTTGTGGAACAGTCTGGCTGCCTAAGGGTGGATTTTGAGTACTCTTGGCACCAAATGCAGCAGTTCGCACTCCCCAGTGTCTTCATGCTGGTGACAGTGATTACTACCTTCTTCCCCCGAATACAACGTACGGTCATTATAGCTGTATTTGCTCATCTTTCAGTCTAGATACAGCTAGAATGACCGTACATTGTATTCGGGGGAAGAAGATAATTGTTAAACTGTTATTGAGGTTTGTTATGTGACCACATACATAGCTCATGTTGAGCTTCTGCCATTCTCTTGTTGACAATAGATTGCGGACCTAGACCGGAAGGTGAGGAGAGGGAGGGAGCGACTTGCGCAGGACCTGGAGGCAGCCCTACCGAAGCCAGTAAGCACGGAGAAACAGGCCCAGCTTGCAGCTATTGAAGAAAAGATAAGGAAGCTCCTTGAACAGATTGAAAAGCTTGGTGAGGATGGCAAGGTGGATGAGGCCCAAGCACTCATGCGTAAGGTGAGCATTTCTCCGGCAATCTTTTTTGCTTTTCAAAGCTGTTGGACATGGTCTTCGGCTCCATCAGCATTGCCTGTTTGTTTGTTTATTTGTTCGTTTGTTTGTTTGTTTGCTTGTTTGTTTGTTTTATTTGGACCATTTCTCTAGGCTACCAGCTGGGCCGCCCGGGTCGCCTTGTTTTCCAGGGCGGTCAGGCCGTGCAAGGGCGGAGGAAGGTCCCAGTGGACAACTTTTGCGTTAGGGTCGTATCAAAATTCTTTAGCAAATTCGAGATAAAAAATATAGTTGAAGTATATATATATATATCTGTAGAGTTTTCCATCTGGTGTGGGTGAGTGATAGTCTACTTTGATTTTGGTTAAGGTGGATTATCACTTACAGTGTAATCAGTGAGGGGATTCTGCAGACTGTTGAGGGTTCAGCCTCCTGATGAGTCGGTGAAACTCGGATGAAACAGTTTGTCACAGCCCCTCGTTTGTTGTCCTCTTCTCTCTCTCTGCCTACGGTTTACCGGGCAGTTCTGTTTGTGACGATATACATATGCAAGGAAATGAGCAATAGCGAGATGACAATGTCCAGATTGCACAATCACATTGAAGGCCAGACAGTATCACAGTGACCAGAAAGCGAAGATGCACCAATATAAAACCAATGAAGAATCGTAACACTGAAAACCAATGTCAATGAGAGCTTGCTCTCGCCACCACCAACATGAGTGTGCAGGCTCTATCTCCTACTTGGTGTTGGCGCCCAGCCTACTTCCTACACAGCGACAGTCTGCCTACTAACTGACAATGCAACTGTTGACGTCAGCAGCCCACAAAGTACTTGAAGATGTTGCCCAATGCCGACCATTGCCAAAACCAGGTATGTGCCCTCACATCATCATCATCATCATCCTTCTCTCTCTTCTCTGACTTACTCCCACGTCTTCCCTCTGTACACCCGAAGACCACCCCTGCGCCTCACTGTAGTCCAAGCCCATCCAGCTATTGAGGATGGGCTATGGCGCTGCCCTCAGCAGCGCCCTGCTTCCTGCAGGACCGCACGCGCTAGCACCTTGCCTCTCAGCGCCAGCAGCAACCTACGAGCGTCCGCTCCAGCAGCACTGCGGCGGTGCGGCCAGCATGCGAGTGCTGAATGACTGGCCAGGCAGCGAGCTCTTTCCTATATGGAAAGAGCCAACCTCTCTCGGCAGCCTGGTTGGCCTGGGCCTCTGCCCAGAAGCTTCCGGTAGGCCCCAGGAGGCTGTGCCTCCGATGCTCCTGTGGGCCTCTGTTCGGCTGGGCCTCCCAATTGCCTGTGTATGAGGCTGCAACTCTCGCCCAGGGCCTGCACATTTTTGGAAAAGCGTGGAAGGCTGTGGAATGTCTTGCTGCTCGGCCTGTGTTTCCCTCAACCAACTGGCGCGTTCAAACTGCCTGGACCCCAAATACGAAATTGACAGCTGAGGACCTCTCGTGATTCGTGATTCGTGATTCGTTAGGCCCGCCTTCACTTAGGGCGGGCACATCTGCAGCAGGGGCCCCTTAGGCCTGCCGAGGACCCAGATCCTATCTATACTTTTGGCCCGTCCGGGCAAGTGGTCCCCGGCCACTCTGGTAGCCTAGCCATTTCTCGATTTGTGGGTGTCATCCTTCCGCAGGTGCCATGCTAATCTTCTCTGTCTCGTTCCAATTTCAATGGCTGTCCCAAAGGACGCATTGCCTGTTTTCCTTACCACTGGCGATTAGTTTCTTGCTCTTGGATTTTTTTTTATTTTTTATTTATTTTTTTTTTTAATTTTTTTTTTTTTTTTTTTCTTGCCCTTGGTTTTGTCGGACGTACCTCGTGGGTGTTTTCCTTTTGCCTT